TGCTGCCCATTACGATAAGTACGCTCACCTTGTGTTTGGTAATTCAATACTGCCACCTGACCCCTACTCCGAGGTCCTGTTATACCTATTATATTTACATTTAATTTATGCAATTGAGCAGCAGCATCTCCAATGGTAAGATTCAGCATAAGGAAAAGAGCAAAAACAAAGCTCTTCAAATGTTCTCATGTCTCTCTCAGTACTTTCCATCTTATAAAATCAGTAAAAGGCATGTCCTCTGGGCCCTCCCATAGTGGAGGATTTGGTGTTGCACTGCAAATCCACTCGAGCATACCAATTTGCCTGAGCCTTACAATCCCTTCATCAACACTAAACCAAGGGATATCAGGTATCTCCAGTTCTCTGTCAGTAGGCCATCTTTTGATAAATACCTCAGCCAACCACTCAAACAAACTTTTAACACCTTTTTTAACTGTATGAGCTTCCATATCCAGAATCTCCAGTTAGGGAGCCCATGTCAATAAACTCAGCCTGATCCAATTTTATGTTCCTTATACCATTATACCATACCCTTAAAATCCATTCCCAGACATATTCATTAGACTTTTGCTTGAATGAATTAGCAAATTCACTAAGTTCTTTAGTGGTGTAGCGCACCTCCTCATGGACCACACTTTCTTTCTATCCTCTAGGGGCCTGCTTAGCTTTGCGTCCGGTTATAGGTCTAGAGGCAACAACAACTGGGCCCTGAGGGACATCAGATTTGTCTCCCTGAATGGGATTAGTTTCCACAATGGGATTAGGCATGGTGGGGAGGGTGGGTCTGCTAAGGGTGGAGAGATTAATTCATCAGGTGAATCAAATTCCTCAGAGTCTGAGGATTCAAAGCCCTCAGCCTCCTCAGGGCTCTCCCACACACTGTAATCAGTTTCCCCGGAAGGGCTGTCTTCCATCAGCACTCACTGGCCATTCTGACCCCGTTCATTGCTTCTGCTCTCCCTGCCCTCATGGACCGGTGGCCAAGGACCCGCGAGGAGAGGGAGAGCCTCCCGCAGCTGGCCCAAGCCTCCCACAGCTGGCCCGAGCTGCCCTGAGCCAGGGCACACTTGGAAACATTTAAACTATTGATTCGAATATGGAGCTTGTCAATTTTATCATTAAGCTCATTTTTTATCTTCATCACTTTATCCAGAGATGCTAGAAGTAACCAGCCAGCATCATTATTTTTCTTATTTTCCCACAAATTGTCAAACGTTTTATGTATAGAGTCACTAAATTTCTTGCTCTTCACGAGAGGTGAGTTAGGTGATTCAAATGCATCTATCTCCATAATTGTTTCAAATAGTCTACACAACAGATTTTCAGTGCTCTCCATGCTATCTGAAGACTCTGAGTTGGAGAGCCTGCTCCAAATACCAACAAGCCCATTAAAGAAATTCATCTCTTCAATTCTGTTTCTCTAGAACCACTCCCGGTACCACAATCTGTATAAGTCAGGGTTCTCCAAAGAAAGAGAACCGGTAGAATGAATATATATATATATCAGCTTAGCTCACAGGATAGAGTCTGAGTAGTCCAACATGGCTGCACCACACTGGAGAAGCTGAGAATCCATAGTCACTCAGTCCACAAGGCTGGATGTCTCAGTAGTCCCAATCGTCTCAGTAGTCCCATTCTATTGCTGAAGATCTGATGAATTCCAAAAGATTGGCTAGTCTTCAGTCTACAGCAGCAAGACGAACTCACCAGTGAGAGAGAGAAGGCAAGCAGCAAAAAGACTGGCGTTCTCTGCCATGGCCTTTTGTACGGGCTGCCATCAGAAGGTAACACCCATATTTAGGGTGTGTCTTCCAGCTTCAGATGATCCAATCAAGAAGATCTCTCTCATTTCAGTTAATCCCAGATCCTGTCAAATTGACACCCAAGATTAGCCATCACAGTTTGGTTTTGGTTTGCGGGGGGGACTGGATCTTGCTATGTAGCTCAGGCTCATATAGAACAATTCTTTTGCCTCAGACTTTAGCATACTAGAATAACAGGTGTGTGCCATCGATTCCAGCTTATCGTTTTTTATAAAATCTTTTCCTGGCTTATTTTAGGAAGACTGTTTGACAGTAAGGACTTTTATTATTTGACACTAAAAACTGACCAAGGATAGAATCTTGTAAATTACCATAAAATACCTTGAATCCTAAACTAAACAGCCAGCAGAACTTTCCAGTTCACCTCCACTTCTCTCTGTGTGTTTATATTTTTTTTGGTTCTCATCTGTAGACTTTTGCTTGCTCAGTCAGAAGAAAGCTGCAAGCTCTGGATTTACAGAGGCAGGACAAGTCACACTGAGGATGGCCTGCCAGTCCTCACTTCCTGTTCTAGGTTTCCAAGTCCAATCACTTGCTATCCTCACGGGGGAGGGTGTCATAGAGTATAACTTAGCTGCTGGGGTCACATTCATAATAGTATATTTTATGGGGATATTTGTGGAAACAGATGATCCATTGTGAGCAGGGAAGACATACCAAAAGAAATCCTCTCTTGGGGTTGAAGTGGCTCAGCAGTTGAAAGCACTGGCTTGAATCCTAACCTGGACACCCACATGGCAGCTGACGACTGTCAGAAACTCCAGTTCCAGGGAATTAGACAACCTACTTCTAGCCTCCATGAGCATTGCATGCATATGGTACACTTACATACATGCATACTCATAAAAAAATTAAAAAGAAGTCTCTCAGAGCACAAGTTCCTCAGGCTACCCCTTCCTTTCTCTCTGCTCTATTGAACTTTACACCAAATTCTCAAGCCCAACTCTGTAATGCTACTTACTCCCTTTTCCAGAGCCTCCTATCAGCAAATGTACCATAAATGCTGTGCATTAAATGACCAAATGTGAGGGAAAGGGGGACATTGATACAGTTTAATATCCTAAGTTTCTGTTCAAAGAAAGTAAGAAAAATATGAACTGATTCTTCAAACCTATAGGCTTAAATCACCGATGTGATAAAAGTTTCAGGGAATTTTCTCTGGGACTTGTCTCCACCCAGATTGCTTTATCCCAAAGTGTTGACTAAGGAGTGAGATGACACACTTTTTCATCATTGTTGGTCCTCAGAGATCAGTAAATAGGTGGAATAGTTACTTTTTGCTTGTCTCTAATGAGATGCTTAGGGAGTCTAAACCCCAGTAGAAATGGATGTTGCAGTAAATGCTTGTATAAATCCTCCAACTATCCTTCCTGCACAGAAGGCTAAGACGTGATCATCTACTTTCATTTGCTTAGAACCCTCTCAGTATTCAGAGACATTCCAATCTGTAGAATAAAGAACACCATTGACCAGCAACTCCAAGGTATTGAAAACTGTCCATCTGCTACTATTATAATGGTAGAGATGCCAATTTCTTTACTAAGAAGTGATACTCACTCTTTCACATCCAGGGAGCAAGAGTTGTGAGTCTATCAGGTGGAACTTGGGATCAACACAATAATCTGCTGTTTCTCTTTTCCTGTGAACTAACTGCCAAGGAGTGGGAGAAAAACTTGGAATGTTAACAGAGACCTGCATGATTGCAGGGGGGGGTCTCTTGCGTCATATTTTATGTCATATTTTTAACATCAAAGGAAGAATCCAGTAGGACTAGCATCAGGTAGGATTAGGAGTTTGAAGTTGGGAATATGGAAACTATGAGTAGATGCTTATTCAGCAACTCTAATGCAGGTTTTTTTTTTTTTTTTTTTAGCAAGACTGTGTCTGTAGCATCCAGATCCTCAGCCTCTATGTATTTGACTTCTGCCTCTGTTCTGCATAGCTGAGCTCAGGCCTATGAGAGGCACAAACCATTCAAGTGTCTCTGAGTTTCTCCTACTGGGACTCTCCAGGCAGCCCCAGCAACAGCTTCTCTTCCTGCTCTTCTTCATCATGTACCTGGCCACCGTCCTCGGAAACCTGCTCATCATCCTGGCCATCAGCACTGAGTCCCGCCTGCACACCCCCATGTACTTCTTCCTTAGTAACCTGTCATTTGTGGACGTCTGCTTCTCCTCCACCACTGTCCCCAAGGTACTGACTAATTACATACTTAGTCGTCAGGCCATCTCTTTCCCTGAGTGTCTCACACAGATTTATTTCTTCTGTGTGTTTGCTGTCATGGACAATTTCCTCCTGGCTGTAATGGCCTATGACCGCTTTGTGGCAATATGCCACCCCTTATACTACACAACAAAGATTACTCATCAGCTCTGTGCCCTGCTTGTTGTTGGGTCATGGGTCATTGCCAACCTGAATGGTCTGTTGCACACGCTGATGGTGGCTAGACTCTCTTTCTGTGCAGACAACATCATTCCCCAGTTCTTCTGTGAGTTGACTCCCATTCTGAAACTCGCCTGCTCAGACACACACCTCAATGAGCTGATGATTCTTTTTGTAGCAGGGATGCTAATGATAGCCCCATTTATTTGCATCCTGGTGTCATATGTCTTTATTACTTGTGCTATCCTGAGAGTTTCATCCACAAGTGGAAAAAGGAAAGCCTTCTCCACCTGCAGCTCCCACCTGGCTGTGGTCTGCCTCTTCTATGGCACCATCATATCTCTGTATTTCAACCCCTCATCCTCTCACTCCTCAGGGAAGGACACGGCAGCTGCTGTGATGTATGCAGTGGTGACCCCCATGCTGAACCCTTTCATCTACAGCCTAAGGAACAAGGACATGAAAGGGGCTCTAAGGAAAGTGGTTACCATGAATTTTTTATGCATTCAATGTGAAAAGAGCTAAGAAAAATAATAGAGGGAACTAATTTACAAGTAAATCCATTTTAGTTTTTTGTATTTTGTGAAACTTAGTGTTTTTAAGAAAAGCATCTATTATATCTTTTAAGAGACAAAACCTATAATATAAACCTTATAGGTAAAAGAATGAAAAAAACTTTAACAAATGACTTTGTTCTGATTATCATTGACCTTTTGATAAGACCTTCCATAAACACACCTGCAATTTATTTCTCATTACAAGAGGGAAGAATATACCTTTGGGGAATAATGAGGCAGCTCAATAGTACACTACTGAAAGGGGCTTCTAAAGCTTGTGCTTTAGTCCAGTGAGATGGTTCAGAAGCTATGTTTGCTGCCAAGCCTGGTGGCTTGAATTCAGTCCCTAAGACCCACATGGTATGAGAGAACTGATTCTCACAAGTTGTCCTCTGATCTCCACATGTACTGTGGCACATGCATGCCCCTAATAAATAAATGACTGTTATAAGAATAAACATTAAAAACCCTGTGCTTGTGTTGGGTAATGTTGGGAAGATTTAGAAATTGCCTCTGCTCTAGAAGGAATGCTGTTACATCAGGATGAGTGTGTGTGTGTGTGTGTGTGTGTGTGTGTAATATGTACATATTCCTGTGGATGTATGCATGTTTTTATGTAGGAGCATGTGCACATGTGTGAATGCATGCGGAGGCCAGAAGTCAAAAACAAGTGTATTCCTTGATGAATCTCCATCATGTTCTTTGAGACAGTCTCTCACTGGAGCCCACCATTTTGTCTCTACTCACTGGTTAATGAGCTCCAGAAATCCTCCTGCTTTTCTCCCCACTATCCCCCATACTGGCATTAAAGATATGTACATCCAGATCTTTGATTTGGGTGTTGAGAATCCAAACTCAAATCCTCATGCTTGCATGACTAGCACTTTACCAACTGAGTCACTGCCGCTGCTCCCCCAACCAGATGAGATCATTTTGAATGGCTGTCTTAATATAGTTCATATAGAAGAAAGGAGTAGATGGAGACTGAGCTCTGATTGGCCAAGAATCAGCAGCCACTCATGTCAGCCACTTTCAGGGTAGTGAATACTGGTTATTTTTGTTGAGAGGAGAGCATTCTTTTTTGTGTTTTAATGTCATTATAGAATGGTCTTTGTTATTGATGTTCTGTGAAATTCACTATATTCTTTAGGAGAGCACCAGGATCTAGCTGTGTCAGGCTAACTGCTGGATCCCAGATATGAGCATATCTGATGAGCAACCAAACTTTTGGTGGGACAAGAAGGAAGGGTTCATTTAGAGCTGCAGAGAACCTCAATTCTGCCATTTGTTTGAATTAATTTTGTTTTGTTTTTTTCTTCTCTCTGAGCTTATGTGGCATACAACATTACAGCAGGAATGTGGGCCAGTTAAATAAAAATGAAATATTCTCAGCAATCTCAGTGTCATGTCAATTAACTGCGTTCCTCCTTTTTTTTTTTTTTTTTTTTTTTAAATTTTATTTTTTATTTAGGTGCTTGCTTAGAACTTGGTATAAAGATCAGGCTGGTCTCAAATTCATGGAGATCCACCTATCTCTGCCTCTTGAGTGCTGGGGTTAAGGACATGTGCCATCATGCTCCGCCAACTGCATTCTTTTTTCCTTATTTTTTTCATTTATGTCAATAAATGTTCTTCTGTTCTCAGGTATTTTCACAAATTTATAACCTGAGGCTGGAGAGATTGCTCAGCAGTTAAGAGAGCTCGTTGCTCTTGTAGAGGACCCAAGTTCAGTTCCCAGCACCCACATGGAAGCTAACAACTGTGTGAAACCCCTCCACAAGATATTGCATGACACAAGTGCACTCTACATACATGCAGGCAAAACACTCATACACATAAATAAATTAATTAATTAATTTATAACCTTGCTTTTCAACTTTTCATTTTTAACAAGGTACTTCTAAATTACTAAAGCCACTATAATTTTATTTTTGCTCATCTTTTGTACTTCTAATTACTAGCAATTTTATTTTTCAATTGAAACAAAAAGAAAATTTATAATATACTTTGAATTGTATTCTGAAAATGTCTGCAAGAAACAAAAAGTTGGGCTGGAGAGATTGGAGCGATGGTTCAGTGGTTAACAGCACTTACTGGTCTTGTAGAGGACCTGGGTTCGGTTCCCAGCACCCACAGGGAAGCTAACAACCATCCATAATTCCAGTTCCAGGGAATCTTCTGGCCTCCAAGAACACCAGACCTGCACATGGTACACTTACATGCATGCAGGCAAACACTTATACACATAAAATGAAAATAAAATCTTTTAAAAAGAAGCAAGAAGTTGACAAATAATTGAATGTGCTTGCTCACATCTGTAATTACAGCATTTGGAAAAATAAGGTAGGACAAACATAAGTTTGAGATCATCCTAAACTATATAGTGGGTTTTCAAGCCAGTCTTGGCTAAGTCTGAGACCCTGTCTTAAAAGACAGCTTAAAAATCAGGGTCAGCAAGACAGCTCAGCAAGTAAAATGTGCTTACCACCAAGCTTGACTACCTGAGTTTGATCCCCAGAATCCACATGGTGGAGAAGAGAATCAACTCCTGCATGTTGTCACACATGCATCATGACATACATGCACACTCCTCCCCTACTAAATAAATTAAATTTATAAACAACAATGAAAAGTGATATCCCTGCATGGGTGCATAATGCTGCTCCCAGAAGCCATGGATTTATGTGAAAAATCCCAGTGCTAGGTTGGGGTACCTTCATATGAGTTGTTGGTTAAGAAGTTCCAAGAGGCCCCTGAAACAGGGGAGGCTATTGCCATTGCTCTTGGTTGTTCACCAAAACTAAATGATAAAACTCCATTGCTGAAGACACCTGACACATTGTTTGCAGGAAATAAAGAGAAATAAAGCTGGCACTGACCCAGAAGCTTCCTCCCTACTGGCCAGCTTTCATAGTGCCAGAAGGAGCTAGGCAGGCTACTAGGGGAAAAGAGGTATCAATGATCTTATTCAGCTCTGAGCTCTGCAAGCTACAATACTGACCTGCTAGGCAAGATGTGCCTATTGGTGCAATAATGGCATGACTGTTGTGGAGCAACCAACAGCTTTCTGAGTTGATTTGGAAGGAAGAATGCATGCCTGATACTGACCTGTCAAAAGTCCATGGCTGTGGAGGTCATAGGGCCTAGAAGGGAACTTACTCTTGCTTGGTTAAATGGACAGTGTCAAACTACCTTCCAAACATGTATGTTTATACCCGTATATTAGTACATTTGTTAAAGAAGTATCTGTTTGCACTGGGCAATGGTTAACGTAGAGACTCATAACTGGTCAAAGTGCTGAGAACAAGTGATTGTTGAGTATTCAGCTCTAAACAGGATATTTATATTACCCCCTTCAAAAGTCAGAGAACATTGTGGAAGAGGGGGGAGAAAGAGTGTAAGAGCTAGAGGATGGGAAAGAGCGCTCTGAAATTCTGTCATTTGGATGACATGGATGTTGTACCTATGAGCTCACAGAAGCAATGACTATCTGCACATGCAGAAGACCTGCACAAGACTGGGCTCATCAACATTCCATCATGGGTAGAGGAAGTACTCCTAAGGTCCTACCCATCCCTGAGGAGTTCTAGGTAGTTAGTAAATGGTTGCTTGGGAAGGGGCTCATATTCCTTAGTGGTGTAGCCACTGTAATTTGCTCTTGCTCAAATAAAGAAACCTTCACCCATGATCATGCAAGCAACCGTACCTGAAAGTAGGAGGGGAACTTGCTGGTAAGAAGAAGGGGTTCAGTGGGAAAGGGAAGAATTCAAGAGAGGATGATGGGTGAGGAATATGATCAAAGTGCCTTATATGTGTATGAAAACTGTAAAGGAATAATAAAGCACAAAAAACCAAGTTGACAAATATATATTTGGAAACTATATTCCTATTGTCTTAGACTTTCAGCATTATTACTATGCCATGTGAATCTTTTTTGTTAATAATAATTGAAAATGATTGAAATTCCCAGATATGTTTTATCTTTTAAGCAAATTTGAGAAGTTTTCGGCTATTATTTCTTCAAATAGTTTTTTTTTCTCCTTTCTCTCCTTTCCCCATAGAACCCTTATTATATATTTTTGGGATACTAACACTGTCTGTATTTGACCCGCTGTTTATTTTTTCTTCATTAATTTTTTTCCTTTCTCCTCCTTAGTTTACACAATCTCTATCAACCTATATTCTAGTTTGATGATTAATTTTCTCCTTCCAGTTCAAATCAGACAGCCCTTTCAATGAGCTGTTTATTTAAATTAGTATGCTTCTCAAGTCTAGATTTTTCCATTTGGCCCTTTTCCCATATTTTCTGTCTTTTTATTCCCTTTCTGATGAGGTATTGCATCCATACTTCCATTTACTTCTCTAATTGTACTCTCTTTTCCACCAACATTTAAAAAAAAATTTATGTGCATGGCCTTCATGCATGTAAGTGTACCTGTGTCATGCAATGCTCACAGAAGTCAGAAGAGAGCATCAGAATCACAAACTCAACAGCCAGCAGGATATTCCAGCCAACTTCTACTTCTATGTGTATTTACATGTTTGTGCTTATACCTGTAGACTTTTATTAGTTTATCTTTAAGTCAGCCAGGAGAAAGCTGCAAGCTTCTGGACTTGCATGAGTAGGACAAGTCACATTGAGGATGACCTGCCAGTCCTCATTTCCTGTTCTAGGTTTCAGAGTCCAACCATGAATCCTACTTGGTAGAAGAGTATAAATGGAGCTGTTGAAGCCACACTCTTAAGAGTTTATAGATTTGCAGAAATGAATAATTCATTGTAAGCTGGGAAGACATTGCAGAATGTCTACTCTTGAAGTATAGAATTTTTGTGTGTGGGGGGGTTCTTTTTGAGACGAGGTCTTCATGTAGCACCAGCTGGCCATGCCTGGCTCTGGAACATGAAATTCTTTTTTTTTTTTTTAAAAATAGAGTCTCCCTGTAGCCCCAGCTGTCCTGGAACTCACTA